GGTTTTATAATCTGCAGATTCCTGTAGTTGGCCATGCCAGTCTTTCTCAAAGTGGATGTTTACTGCCCCAAAACCGAAAAGTTCCATTTTGAGAAAGAAGGTACATATTTCGTGTGACAAACTCTATTTCTTGCCCTGAATCTCAGGGCAATTGTGAGGCAAGAAATTTATGGTTGTTGCCATTTTCCCTGTTTTGTGAGACACTGTGAGACAAAATTTTCTTACATAGGTCACTCCTCTTCTTTGTCTTCCTTTATCCTTTATGTTCCTTACTTGCAGGGTTGGTTGGTTGGTTTGTTTGTTTTTTTAAGATGGTCTTTTGAAGATAGTGAGGGTAGAATTATGTAACTGTCAAATGGTCTGAGGGCACTGCTTCTTACCAGAGAATTAGGCCTACCTTTTTTGTTACTAGTCCTTTAGTTGCATTCTAGGATATTAATTTGGATGCTATACATTTAGCTAAAACTGTTTAAAATTTTACTTCTCATGCTGCTGTTTCTGATAGAATGACTGGTGTCAACCTTGTTAGAGAAAAATGGTAAGCAAAAATTTAAGAACTTTTTGACATATGAGATAAAAAAAATTCTGCAGACGTGCAGAGCAAAATCTTCATGATATTACAACAAAGGTTCAAGGCCATAAAAAGAAATGTTTTCAGCAATAAGAACACTTTAAAAAACACTAGTATAAAAGATAAGGAGTCAACTAAACCATCTTTAGTTAGTTGAAGAGAAGTGCGTAAAACAAGATAAAATTTTGTGAGCTCAGGATAGTCCAGTGAAGTTTCCTGGCAGTGCCTACCTTCTGAGGCAGAGAAAGAGAAATGCATATTGATCAGCGATCAAGCTGCACAGTCTGCCCTGAAATCCTAAATATTACAGGAATCAGTTTAAGGGGATCCTTTTGGCTGGTGCTTCTCTGACCTCACAGCAAAACATCAAGAAAAGACAGGAAGCAAGCCCTCTCACCCTGTTTGGGTCAGAACCTCAACACAAATGGAGCAGAGAAAACAGCTTCCTCTTAGACTCGGTCTGAGAAATGTTTGAGGAGGAGAAGAAACAAAGTTGGGTTTGAATCAGAATTGTGTAGCCTGCAAGACTCGATTTGTTTCATGAATGCCAGCACGTGGTAGGCAGGGGTTTCACTTCTTACTCAACAATAATTGCATTCAGGGTGATTTTTCTTTTGTATAGCTCATTTTTTCTTCGAAGTTGCAGCACTTGCAGTTATCGTAATGCAGGTGGTTGTTTTGGTATGTGTACTCAGAGAAGAGGAGGTACTCTACAAAGTGAGGTGGATCTCAAAAGATTATCTGCTCAGACTATTGAGTAAAGTCTTTCTAAATGCCATGACGTTTCAAATTACTCCCCAGTCGAAAGAGAACACCTGAGATTGTAACCAATTGCAGTTTGTCTCAACTTGCACTGAAAACATCTTCAGAATTTAAGTAACAATAGCCCTTGGAGCTACACCAGCCTGAGGGTATTCTGCAGACCCAGGGTTTTTCAGCCCTTCCTGCAGAAGGAAAAAACACAGGTCCTTCTGAAATGATAGGCGATCAGTTCAGGTTAGGTATCTACTGCCATTTTTATGGTGCTATACACGCTCTTAGGAAATGAGACAAAAAATTCCTTAGAGCTGAATGGCTTACAGTGCCTTTTTTAAGCTACTGATTGATATTTGTGCAGTGAGAACAAATGCACTGCTAGAGCAAAACTGGAGCAAATTGATATTTGTAGCAGTAGTTTAGGAGATATCTTTTTGTGGTGATGGAAATTTGTATTGAGCCTAACAGCAGTCACATTGCTGGTAAAATAAATGTTAAGTGAAGCATGAACAAGTTTAATTACTTACATCTAGCACTTAGTGCAGAATTAATTCATTCACTCTATTTTTCTGAAGGAAGATATTTACTCTGTACTGTGTAATATGCATACCTATATTTCACATTTATGTACATGTACCCCTCCTTGTTAGTACATACAAATAAAAGTTAATGGATATTTCCCTTCATGTCACAAGTTCACAAAACACAGATTTGTTGAGCTTAACTTCATCTTGGGAATGTGTTTTGGATTAAATTAGTTATGCTTTTTTTCCTATGAAAATTTGATAAGCAATATCAGCCCTACATTAAACTTAAAATAATAAAAAGAAACCAACAAGAACACCACAAACCTCTAGCAGGCATCAGCTGAGGGGTTAACGTTGCTCAACTTCAATTTAATTGTGTTCCCATGTTCACATTGTGTTCACAGAAAGGCTTAGCTGAAAGGAGTCTGGATTTAACGGAAAGCACAGAGCTTTTGTGTAGTTGTAGAGCAGTGCAGTCAGCTTCAGTGTTAGAAGATGGGCTCTATGAAGATGAATAACACTGGGGAATCAAGACTTGACTACTATGTCTCTTATGTTCACTGCTATAGCGTAGGTCTATTCAGCTATTTTTCTGCATGATTATTTTCTTATTTTAATAGTTATTGCATTGTATTCTGTTCATGCTAACTTCAAGTTTTTTTTTTAAACATTAGTGCAGCTTTGGGGTTTTTGTTCGTTTTGGTTTTCTTTGCTATAAAATGTGCAGCTAGTAAAAACTTATGTGCATTATTTACAAATGTAGTGGTTTATATGAACATCATAGTCATATTCTTTCACTATTCTGAAGCTTCTAAAATCTAAGAATTTAGAATTCATATTTATACTGTATTTCAGATCTAATGAGTTTATATAGTGCTATATTTAAATATCCATCATTCTTCTAAAATCTGGGAAGCAAAACTTACAAGTGTTTATTCCATTTCCTGATATCACTATAAAATGTTTCAAAAGAGGGAGGGTTGTGTATGTTATATTTTAAATGACTGCGGTGAAAATATTTTAAAATACTGTGGTGATAATGATTCTTATGATTTAAATTAGAGTACTGTGATTACACTTCTTAAAATAAGCTTAAGCTGCATCTACATCTATCTCAAAAATGCTGTGGGCTGACTTTAGATATAGTAAAAATTATCTTTTTGCAGTTGAGAGTCATTCTAGTGTTTATAAGGATCCAAATATTTTTTTTAAAAGTAATGACTGGGGTCTTGTATTATACACATCTTTTTAATATAAAATGTATATCTAAAATGGTTTTACTTTATGCATACTGTAAATGTGTAAAACTGATTAAAGAGAATTATTTGGGATTGTTAAATGTAAACATTAACTTTTAAATGTTTTGGGTAATGTGGAGTGAGGTTCTTTTCAAGTATCTTTAAGCTTATCTTTCTGTAAATGACCAGTTCAGAAACTATAGCTGTTAGTCATCTGATACTTTTTCCACTAAGAGACTCCTACAGTTCTATTATTTCATCATTTAAAAGAACACGTGTGGCATCTGAAGGCCTTGTCAGAGACAAGGGCATCATTAGTTGTCTCTTGAGATGCTATTTAGCACACAGCACTGCTGTATTAATGTCTTATGCCATCTTGAAAACATTGCAGGTGCTATTATGCCTCATAAAGCACAGCTGCACAGAATTATCATGTTAATTTGAAGTCATCTTGTGCATTTACAGGAAAGCCTATTTAAAGACAGGGTTGGTTTTATTATGTAATTATGTTGTTCATTGTACTCAGTGTCACTGGTTTGCTAACTAATCATTGCACTGATGATCTCATCTTTCCCATGCCTAGAAGGAAACTTTAAGCACGGAAGGCATCAAAGATGTATCAGATAAAGTGTCTGAATAAGAAAACACGCTTATTTTTCCAAACTTAGGGTAAGATCTCAGAAATAAATTTAGAGGCAGTCAAATACAGTAACATGAATCTCTTTTCTTCCTCTACCTCAAAAAACCCCAACAAAATAGAAAAATTTGAGTAGAAACAACAGATGTCCTATTGGAAAACAGCATGAATAATTCATTGTGCAGTTGTGATTAATGTTATGCCTGTAGAACTAGTGTCTTAACATGTCTCTTGCATGTGTTTTATCTGTTCTTTAGTAGGTATTTTCATATAGTGGAAGGAAGCACAATGTGTTCATGAAAACTATTGCATATTATCACTGTTAAATAATTTTAGGGACTTGTTCAATTATAACATCAATTTCAAAGTTCATCCTTGAGGAAGCAAATATAATTGCCAAAAACACGTAGGCTAATATGCTTAGTCAAGCACCTCTTTTGGGAAGTGAAATACTGGTACAAACGAAACCGGAAGAGGAACCTAAGGTAAATCTACCCTGTTAGGTTCTAAGCTTGTTGGTTCATCCCTTTCTAGGTCCTGATCACCCATGCTGCGTGGATGTCATTTTGCTCTCCAGTAAACCAACTATTTCCTTTCTGAGCTGAAAGCTGACTGCAGTGCTGTGGTGTACTCCAGGGAACACGCATAATAGGCAGTGCGAATGAGCCCTTGTCCCGAAGATCACTTGTGATAGCAGGCTTAAGAAGGAAAATGAATCAGCATGTGCTGAGGTCCATGCTACTGCTGCTAGATTGCTTTCTGTCCTAAACTAGAGCTTTAAATCAAGTATCCACATACCACAGTGCGGTGTAGATGAGCTGGAATTATTCACTCCTTCCTTTTCTATCTCAGCTCTGCTAAACCTGCTGTTGCTATAGCAGAGATCTCTTTGTGTTTCCTATGTGGACAGAGAGGCTGCAAACACCTTTTCAAATTAAATGTACATCTCATTGAAATACATTTTATTGTATTTCTTGTTGACTACTTGATGCTTTATTGTAAGATGAATTTTTTTCCACAGTGTTCTATAAATATCAGTGGTCTTTTATTGAGGCTTTACACTGTGATAATAAAGACGTGACCACCTCAACAGGGTTGTAGTGGAATATAAGCTTGTTACTAATAATAGTAAAGAAACATATAATAGTTATTGTATATATGTCAGGATACAAAATCTTGTTGGCTATTCTTTAAAAATTTTACATGCCTGTAATTAAGGTTAGAAAAAGAATTTGCATTCCTAATGTATTATGATATTGTCATTGATCTAGGCAGGACTAAGGACACTTCATGATATTGGCCCTGAAATACGCCGAGCTATATCCTGTGACTTGCAAGATGATGAACCAGAGGAAAATAATCCAGAGGAAGAGGAAGATGTGTATAAAGTAATGTCAGAACATAATTACATGATGAATTCTTTATCATACAATACAAGATTTCTAAAATGAGATCATCCTTGAATATAGAATAATAATAATAATAAAAAACCCAAAGCAGGAATATATATATGTATGTATGTGTGTATGTATATCTACACATACATATAGAGAGAGAGAGAGACAGACATATGGACACCAGGACATCTGCATTTCATCACAAATTTAGAACGTAGTACCTAATTGTAATGTCATTCTCCTGCCCTTAATTCTTTCTCATTAATTCTTGTTTTTTTAAGAAAAATCTTAAGAAAAGGTATGAGCCTTACACTGTGCCTAGGTCAGATTATGACAGTGGCATGGCTTAAACTGAAAATGTCTAACTTCTCCAGTGGTAGATAGAGAGAAGAGATGAAATTCTAAGCAGCCGAAGGACAACAGACGCAAAAAGAGCTGCACAGTTTAAAACAAATGCCTGGAATTACACAGAAGCCAACTAAACATAAATGCCAGTTTCAGTTTTCTGTAATGGATATCAATAAGAACCTATCAGAGAAAAACATTTTTTCCTCTTTTTACATTTTAAATATTCAATCTAATGATGAACACTTAAAGTCAATGTTATAATCAGGAGCTTTCTGCAAGATATTTGTTAGCTAGCAAGAAAGCTTAGTTCTTCACAAGCAGTTCAGAAGTAGATTGTAAAAGCAGGCTTCTGCACTAATTAAGTCAGAAGTCCGAAAGCTTAGTATTGTCCTTAACAAAAGAGGAGAATATTGCACTGCGGAGACAGTGCCACAATTGCCATCAGTAGATGCATTTCTCTGCCAACCATTATTTACCTCCTATCTTCTCTAGATTGAGCTTCAGGACAGACTGCTGTCATCCAAGACCCACACCTGGCTAGACAGGGAGGCTACATAATCTGGGTCAGATGTAAAAGAGAGTTGCATGTCATAGTTGTATTTTTGACAACATAATTTACCACTTACATTCTCTCTCACCTTCCATTATACTCTCAGGGCTGATAAACAGTTACTTACTACTCTTTCTTGTACCTCTGTGAGGAGGAAGAATGGAACCACTGAAGCTTAAGTTACTCTACTTGAGATACACTTGTGAGCTCTTGCATGGCACTCCATCCTGTCTGAGTGACACTCGTAGCAAAGCGATGCCCTGAGGGAAGGGGACAGAATTCCACCAAAGTGTTTTCAAAACCTGAGCAGACACATTCTCTTCTGAGGCAGTTGGTGCATGTTCATGTATGGGAATCTAGGTTTCTCCTGCATAATAAAACATGGAGAAAGCTTGATGTCACATTTAGTTGTAAGCAAAGAGAATAACGATCACTTCATAGTGTTGATTTGACTCTGACAAATATGACAAATACTGTCATTATCACAATCACATCTGTATCACTCTAGGAGATCTCATCTGAAGCATTATAAAATTAGAATGAAAATCACACAAATTAATTGAATAGTTACCTTTGTATGCATGTAGGAAAGAAAAATAAGTTACCACTGTCAAAAATATGTTCTGTTATCTGATTTTTTTTTTTCTTTTCCTAAAACAGAGGAATGGTGCCCTGTTTGGCAACCACATAAACCATATTAGCAGCGACAGACGAGATTCATTTCAACAGATCAACACCACACACCGTCCCTTACATGTTCAGCGGCCTTCAATTCCATCTGCAAGTGATACTGAGAAAAATATATACCCTCAGGCAGGAAATTCTGTATACCACAATCACAACTCTGTAGGAAAGCATGTTCCAAACTCAACAAATGCCAATCTTAATAATGCCAACATGTCCAAAGTTGTTCATGGAAAACATATAAATATTGGAAATCATGAGCATAGATCTGAAAACGGTTACCATTCATACTCCAGAGCTGATCATGAGAAGCGTAGAAGGCCAAGCAGTAGGAGGTAAATTTAGAGATTGTTGTGTTTAAACAAAATATTTGATAAGAAAACTTAGTATGCTACATGAAACTAATTTTTATAGGTATATTCAGTTTCATTGTTGTTGCTTTTGTTATAGAAAACATTTAAAATATACTTCTTATACCTGGGGAAAGTATATAACAAAGTATATAGTTTTGCATTTGCTTAATGAAGTTTGAAAATACTTTTCTTTGAAACAAAATCATTAGTTACGGCTCAGTCACTGTAGTCACCAATGTATTTCTGGGAACTACCTGATTTCAAAAAACCTTTCTCCATGTTTTCATGGCTTACCTGGACAGAACCCGCTACTATGAAACTTACATTAGGTGAGTTAATATTGTTCTGACATAATTAAACTCTGCAGGTGGTACCTTTTTCTGCCTTTTGGGGGGAAAAAGCAGTATATCTTTCAAAATTAGCTATATAGCAAAGCATATGCTGAATACCTTCTGTGAAAATTTCCAAGTCAAATTTTGCACTGCCTGTTCTAAAAGGGTAAACTTCTGGTAAAGTTCAAAGCTATTAAAGCTATTTTAAAAGTCCAGGCAGGTTTGTGCAGGATTCAAGAGACAAAAAGATCATACCTGATGCTAGTCCATGTTTAAAATTATCTTGCATAGACTGGAAAAAAACTGTTGTTAGCCATTGTAAGTATTACTGTGAACAGTTCCATTTTTAGGAGATCCAAAAATCCATCCTTGGCTTCTGTCTGTATGCTTGGTAAAATTAGTTTTAAAAATAGGACATACTGTGTTATTTGAAGGGTATGGCTAAATCTACATCCAGTGGTAGTTTTTAATGTCTGGACTTACACCTCAGTTTCAGTTTTTCTTGGAAGACCTCATTGAACGCTCCTTAATATTTTAGCTGTTTGGCAAACTTCAGGCATTTGAGAGAGGCTATTTTTCTTCAAAGTACTCTGAATTTATATTTTGCAAAAATGTCTGAAATGTAGTTGACTTTACTTAACGTCTCCATACTAATGCTTTTCATATTTGTATTGTAAGGAAATAAAGAGAGGTTAACTTTAAAAAACAGATAAGATAGGTTCCACAATATTCTGTAGTTCCACAGAATTTACTATAAAACCACATTCTGACTAAAAGAGAATATTTAATGCTTGACTCTTTTCTTGAAAGCACTTTAAAAGATTATGAATGAAATATAATTAGTCCCAAGTATTTGTTTGCCACTTACAGATCTGACTCTGGTGATGGGCGTCGACCTGCTATTTGCCGTGAAGAACATGAAGTTCAGGACTATTGCAATGATGATCATTATTTAGGAGAGCAGGATTATTTTAGTGGAGAAGAATATTATGAGGAAGACAGTATGTTGTCAGGAAGCAGGTGAGGATCTTTCTTCAACTGGGCAAAAAATTTTAGTAAATGGTGTACCTATCCTTAAAGGCTTTGCTGGGCACACTTCTCATGCTGAAAATCCTCCAGCGAAGTTAATGCTCCACAACTGTCGGCAGGTCAAATGGTGAGTAAGAATACTGTATGTAACATAAGCCGTTGTGCCTGGCATCAAGTGCTCACGCCAGGAAAAGGTTTGTACCAAATGCAAAGGAAAGCACAAAGTTTGTTTGCACTGAGTATAAGCCAGATAGTGCATAACCAAAGAAGGCCTTTCATTTATGAATAAAATTTCAACTGCAGGGATCAAACTTACATAGAGAAGTTTTTGGAAATGGTTTCCTTCATTTAATCTTACTTAAACAAAAAGAAAGGTGAAACTGGTAGACTGTAGAATGTGATTGTAAGGTAATGTTAGCTTGACCAGTAAAGTATGGGCTCAACTTCCTTTTGAAAATTCTCATTATACCACCTTATTAATAATCTTCCTCTTGGCACCATTTTCTAGCTCCCTAATGTAAATCCTTAGTACTTTGATAGCTGTCATGGCCTATATGAGTTTGGAATGGATGATTTTTACGGTTCATTCATAAACTTAACGGAAATGTCATGTATTGAATTTCAGTCAACGTACTAGTGTTTCTTACATGTTTATGCTGCTGAATAATGTGCAAGCTAGTACTGATTTGAGGCCCCTTGCTGTAACTGCAGAGTTCTAGTTTTGTAACCTAGTTCCTCTCAGTTTTCTAACTAATTTCTGTTCTCTTCTGACAAAATTCAGAATGGTAGCTGAGTTAATAGTGGTATTTCTGCCCAGTAGTATTTTTTCAAGGCCTGTTGGTGTTTTTCTAACAACTCTTACCTGAGTCTTTGTGTTTAACTCCTGTGATCTTTGCATTCGGAATTGCAGTTTCACAGATTTGAGTAAAAAAGCTTTGATTTAATCTTGGTAAATCTAAGCTTTTCTCTGCCAGCTTTGTTTCACACAGTTCCTTCAGAAATGGTCTGGGGTATGTTTGTTTAACTTTAGAACTTGGTTCCCAAGTTAGTTTGGCTTGAACACCACCGCTGTGATGTGGGCTTCAGGAAGCCATGGCTTCAGCAACAGCAGGTCCTAGCTTTGCACTAGGACCATTCAGGTACATGAACAGCTTTCCACGTGTTCAGACAATGCTTGGATATTACTTTGAAGAAAATCTGCATCTGACAGCTTGAGAATCCCTGATTAAGTCTTTAAAAATGAGATTGTTCCAGTACTTTCTAAGTACTAACCCGTCATGGAACAGAACCTCTATTTGGTAATACTGAAAGGACTTTCTTTAAAAAAAAAAAAAAAAAAAAAAAAGTTAAGTATACCCTTTTCCTCAAGCATCTGATGAATTTTGAATTTGATAATATTCCCTTTCTCATTATTGCACTTTCAGGATCATGAGTAGATTGCATTCACCTCCCTTGCAGTAAGTATGCTTCACTTCTGCTGAATAAATTGAATAACCCCACAGAAGTATCCTTCACTTGTATCAATAAATTTTTATTCTGAGGTCCAGTTTAGAAGAGGAAGAATTTTTGCCGTTCTGTCTTTGATCTGTAAGTGCACGTGCTCATGCGTCAAACACACTAAATTCTCCGCCTTCTATACTATCTTTCTTTACTAGCTGGACTCTGACAACAAGATTGGCTCCCTAAACTGCATCTTGTTAGCTTGCACAAAAGCTAAATTTTACAGAATTCTCAGAATTGGTCCATGTAAGTTATAAACTAAGCTATATTAACTCCCATTCTTCTCTGTAGCCAATCATTTTTTGATAATTACAGTCAAATAGCATATCTTATAAGATTTGATTTCCCACAAAAGAAAGATCCAGAGTGCAATAAATGAATTCCATTCTCTGAATTTCTGTGCTCCACAGCTTACCCAGGGCTCATAAGAGAGCACGGCAGGAGTAGGACAGAGTATTATTTTTTTTAAGCAATGTGCAACTGAGGTCTTATATTTTAGCCTGATAAATATATTTAAATATTTAAACATTTAAATATAAACATTTATAAACATTTAAACATTTAAACATATTTAAACATTTAAATATAATTTGATAAAGCGTTCACCTTACAACTTACTGTGTAACTATACTAATCCAATACCGTATACTCACTATCTCAAAATCAGTTTGCATACAGAAACGGATGTTTACTACTGAGTCGCATGGTTCTACCTGGTTTTGCTTGGTTATTTTGCTGGAGAAGAAATGTTTGAAATTCGTCTAGAAGACCACTGGATGAACTTACAGAAACTCACTGAAATATTTTCTTTATTGTATTTTAACTCAGGCATATATATGACTACCACTGTAGGTACCACTGCCATGACTCAGATTTTGAGAGACCAAAAGGTTACCATCACCCACATGGATTTTTTGAGGAAGATGATTCACAGATCTGTTACGATACAAAAAGATCTCCTAGGAGACGGCTGCTGCCCCCAACACCAACACGTAAGTATATTAGGATCAATTTGTTTGCAAATCCAGAATTATTTAAATTCATTAAGAGTTTCTAGTTTAAAAAGGCTTCCTTGTGACTCTGATTTTAAGCATGACGTTCTTTGGTTAATGTTGCTAGCAGAACGATGTTTGCAGCAGAAGCATCTATCCACCTTGAGAGATTGCTCACAGAATCATGGCTCTGGCCTGAAACTGCCTGGGAGCGGGGCTGACACCACTGCCAGGGGAGCCTGCACAGGCATACAAGTGAATCTTTCTCACACCTCTTGCCTCACTCATCAAATAATATAAAAATATGTAATTCCTAATTTTAACTTGATTTGATAAATGAAGAAAGAGCAAGGTAGAATGCAGCAGTGGTTTCCTCTGAAACTTTTATCAGAGGTTTTTGATGTCTGTGCCCTTTATTCTTACCTACAAATGCATTTTGTTGCTATGAATCAAACAATGCCGTTGTCTTTCTAGTGACTCACCTGCTGGCACTTCCCATTTCTCTTTAAACTCAGACATGCCTCTTACTGACACTGTAATTGGTGCCATTTACATCTTTACCTCAACCTGTTTTAGTAAACACTAGAGACTGAAGTATGATAATTTTCAGGGAAAACAGAACTAAGAGTGAGTTTAATGGTGATTTTTTTTCTTCTAGTACTTTTGAAGTGCCATTAGGTTTTTAATGAGAGTTTCTCAAGTCCCTATTAAAAAAAAAAATGTTATCCTGGGCTAAGCATTTTGTTTCAGATTCACATTGGTACTTCATTGTGGCCTCTCAGAAACACTGCTTAAAATTCTGAGCATTTCTTCTGAGAGAGAAAATATTTCCATTGTCAAGTTATAAATTGCATTAGTGTCCTATCTTGTTGCATGGACCAGCCAACAGACTTGCATACGTTTCAGGCAGCATTCAGATTTTTCACCTGTTTCCTTAATTTTCATTTATTCTCCTTCTTAGATCTTTGATTTCCCGTTATCTCAAGCGCAACCTTGGTTTATTTGCGTTTCTAAAACCTCTGATGTTTCTTATCCTACGGTTCTGTTTTCCTGTGTTCCAGGCCATACTACGGAGATTAGCAGTGCTAATCTTCCTGTGAAACTAGGCAGAGACTCAATGCTCTTGGGTTTGGGTCTTTGACTTCTGACACTTCATGGTTGGGAAGTGAAGCTTGTGAATCCCCAAATAAAACTCTTTTAAAGGCTAAACTAAAGAGACTGCGTTGGCGCAGGTATGGAGGGGTAGGCGCATGAGAAACAAAACTCAGCTCTGTGCAACCCCACACCAGTACTCTTACCTGTAGTGTGGTCAGCCCAGCCAAGTCTATTACCTGTGTCTTTGGGTAATGCCATTTAACCAGTGTCATAAAGGCAATTCAGGATCATTTCTAGAGGAGTCCCTAGGATTTGTCTGCCGTTAGGTAGATCAGATTTCTAGAACACCTGAGTTGCTTTTTCTTCTGATGATGCTAGTAGCCTGACCCACAGCCCGTTTACCCGTGGAAGTATGACTGTACGGACTGCTTGGGTAGGGAATTGGGTTTCATTCTGTTCACTGTCTCAGACACACTGAAGACAATGCAGGTACAGATCCAAAAAAAAAGAAAAAGAAAAGTATTTCAGAGTCAAGTGTAATGGGATCTTTATACATTGCCTGAGGTGAAGTCTCAGACTATATAAAGCTACAGAAAGCTGTAGTCAAAACAGCGGCAAAGAACACATTATATAATAAAGGGAACTTTTTTCAACAGTACCATTTGTGCTGGATCCTCACTTTTGGTACTCAGTTCCTTAGGACAAGGCTAGTAAAGTGTTCTGCTCTTTGGCTTTCTGACCTTAAGTGGCTCAGATGGAAAAAAGCACCAAGTATATGTGAGCCTCACAGTACAGAGGGTAAATAACTCAACTCAGATGAATTTCAGGGAGTGAAATGCACAGAAAGTTCCTGCCTTTCTTCTAGTACCAAAAGGAAAAGGTTTCCTCAGATTATTTTCTTGATTGTGCAAGGAGACTGCTGTACATCTTTCTACAAATTGTTTCTGATAGCAGAGGAATTTTAAGCCAAAGAAAGAAATTGATGTTTCACATATACATTCCATATGTTGCAGGAAAAATCCTCCTAAGTCTTCCCATGAAAACATTGAGATGGGGGTGGAGGGGATTGAAGACTTCCTGTGACTTCAGCCTTTGGGCTTCATTTAACTTTTTAAATAAAGTTTTGATGACGCTATTAGGCTGGCATGTCTTTAGAGGAAACTTACTGATAGAAAAAAAAACAGGGGAGTTTTTATCTTATATATGAGAGATTAGATAAATGCACTAGAAAGGAGGATATCTGATATCCTCCTTATCTGGTAAGAGGATCTAGTGCTGATCTAAGCTGCATAAAGGTAACGTGGGAAGAACTTTAGTAAAGTCCTTTAACTTATACTGGTATGATGCCATAAGAGCGGAGTCAGGCCTCCTGCCGTAGCCATTTATTTAATGTTCAGGAATACAGATGAGAAATTTTAGAGCCTCAGAGTCTAAGCAGGGTTTAAAAGAAGATCAAACAAATTATTTAAAAAAAAAAAAAAAAAAAAAAAAAAAAAAGGAAAACCTGCAACATGACACTAAGCAGTTTCTACGAGCATCTGAATTCAGTCCAAGCTAATGTAACATTCAGTCCTTGGCTGAGTACTGTAGTTAGTAAATTGAGCTCTGTATCGAGCTCTGTATAGGTTTTTATACCCAGCTAATCACTACAGCATCTGAGCAACTTCCAGAAGTGCACTGAGAAATGTGATTAACATATGTTCTTCATTCTCTCCTGGGGAGAAGTATGTGCAATGGAACATCTTGTTTTGGATGAGGAGGCTTTTTAGGTTTTTTTATTTATTTATTTTGAAATTGGGACATTTAACATTTGTTAGAATCAGGAACTGAGACTCAGGCTGACATTCCTAAATTTGGATCCATCACAGAGATAATCGAAAGAGACAAAGTTCATATTAGATGGACTGAATGAACTTCTGGAGGTGCCTTTTTTGCTCTAGTGGCTCTTCAGGGAACCTAGATCATTAGTGCCCAACATTACATGCCTAGTGATGACTCTAAGTGATGAATCTAAGTCAATGTTCAATTCTTTTCACAAATTTAGGGTATTGAAAAAAGATACCGAGAATAGTTTCAATAGCTTCAATTAGTTTCAAGAGAGCCCCATTTTGTATCATTGCTTTGTACGGTCAGCCTATATTTCCAGTTTTGCAGTATGATGCTTAGAGTTGCAAGGCTGTACTGGGATTCCAGCTGCTGTTCAAAATCACGATTCTCTTCGTGCTGAAAGCGACACAGAGAAATGTTATCCAGGTGTTGCGGCATGGTAACTTCCCATCAGTCCTTAGGGTTCCACCGAGACCAACTGAAACATTTCTGAATCAGCCAAACACCTTGATCCAGCTTAAATTTCTGCTTTTCCCTTTCTAGTGTTTACATGAATAGTAAGTGTTCTTCATAACAGCACAAACCATGGATTACCATTGTCATAAGTAACAGAATAAAACCCAGGAAAGGATAACATTAGTTGCCTTTGACTTGCGTATATTTTTTTCATATTACACATTACTTTCAAGGAATTGGGGATTTGGAATTTCCTTTGGGAAGTCTAGTTCATTAGAACAGCAGTTTACAGCAAAACTCTGAAGTGTCTGCACCAATCTGCTGCATAACAAAATGCTTGCTTTGTGAAACATAGCTGCTTCAAATTCTTGTCGTGTTAGCTTGCTCGTATGGTTTCTCTCTGGGACTGCATTTGCTCATGCGAGGAATCTATCCACTACCTGTCTGTTAATCAACACAATTTATTAACATTTCATATTGGGGGGATATCTTTTTATTTGGGTGACATTTGATCCACAGTGGATTTCCAGAAATACTGGACTTTGAGGGGAAAAAAAAAATAAGTATTTTATTTTCCTAATGAATTATGGTTCTCCTGTAGCAAACAGACGATCTTCCTTTAACTTTGAATGCCTCCGCCGACAAAGTAGTCAAGATGACATACCACTCTCTCCTTCCTTCCAGCACCGCACTGCTTTACCACTTCACTTAATGCAACAGCAGGTAAATCTAAAACCCTTTTTGACTAATAATGAATCATTTTAGCTTCTGTATTGTACCTCTGCTGACTTTCATGGTTGTTTGCAACGGTGCTAGTGGATTATGTTGTTTGCCTCTGCGCTACTTCTAGGCATGTGTATGGCATGCTCTTTCTTATAGTTGCTAGATACAAGGCTTCTCAAATATCTACCGTCTAAAAAACACTGAAAGTGAATAGTTTGCCCCCATGACTCCTAAGTGTCCACAAAAAGGTTAATATGGCAACCATCTGTTAATTTTTGCATATGCTGTTAGTCAAAGTTAGCTGCATTTGTGAGAGTTTGCAAGTAAAACACGCACATCTTCTGTGGCTCATTAATCAGCTCTGATCTGAGTATCTTAAAAAAGATAGTGATTTCCATAGCCATCCAGAATGCTTGGAAAATCATTGGTACCTGCAAGCTGCATTTGAAAACTTGTATTCTTTAGCAAACTGCATTTATTTTGGTCACTTGGGTGAATTCCACAAGTTCTTCTACTGATTTACTGAGTCAGAGAGGACATAGAAAGATCTTTAAGTCACTAGTTTTAGGCAAAGCCATGTGTTTTGCCCAAATAAGGACTGAATAAAACAAAAAAGAAATCTCATGGTTTATCTCCAAGTGAAAGTGCACTGTTTTATTTGGTGCTGCATAAAAGCTGGTGGTGTCTCAATGAGAATAGCAGCTCCTAATATGTCATATGATGGACATGTACAGGGCAAAACGGTCACTAATGTATAAAGATGATACTTTGGAATATAAAGATGCTGTGTTTGGAATAATGAAAAGACCTTTAGAAAGCATGGGAAACAGGTATGATGAATATAAATAACTCCTTACGCTAGATTTGTCCTGAAGCTGCGTCTAATTTGTGTGCATCAGGTTATTGCTTGCTGTTTATATGGTATTTACTCCCACTTATCTGATCTAAACTAAATTTTGTAATCTGTGGTCTGTTGAATTTTAGTAAATTGTTGTTATTACCTCAAACTAAATCAAATAATTTGTTTTCATATGACCAACCAAGATATCCCTGTACCCCAAGTCTCCTATCTCCTGCTTCAGCGTCAGGCTGACTGAGAGGACTTACAGGATAAGCAATAGGAGGAGTTTTTAGACGACTGTAAATTATGCTAGGTGAATAGGTCCCTCTTCCTCAAAAAGGCCAAAGAAAGCAAGGTGCTTAAAAGCAATTTTAAGTATAAAGCTGATACCTTCCTACCCTGTCCCTACAGAAGAGGAAGACCATCTCTACGCTTTGTTTCCCTTGTTTAATATATTGTATAAGCAGTTATTTTTCTTGACTAATGCTAATGCCAAGATTTTGTGATCTGAGTAGTAATAGAAAAAATAACATTTTATACCATCAGTTTACCAACTGCAGTCCTGTTCCTCCTTTACATGACTGTTAAATATCAGAAAATGTTAATTTGCATAGCTGCTGCCTAAACAGTCAGTTTGAACTAACTGCTGAAATAAGAAATGAGCCTGACGTTGGCCATTTCAGACTGACTGTCTTTCAAAATTCTTCCCCTTACCAGGTCATGGCTGTTGCAGGTCTGGATTCCAGTAAAGCTCACAGACATTCACCGAGTCGTTCAACACGTTCCTGGGCTACCCCACCTGCAACTCCTCCCATCAGGGACCGGACGCCGTATTATACGCCTCTGATCCAAGTTGATAGGGCTGAATCTACAGAACAGATGAATGGTAGCCTGCCTTCTTTGCACAGAAGCTCTTGGTACACAGATGACCCTGATATTTCCTACCGAACGTTTACACCAGCCAATTTAACTGTACCTAATGACTTTAGGCATAAACATAGTGACAAACAGAGGAGTGCAGACAGTTTGGTAGAAGCGGTAAGTGTTACAGAAACCTCTGAAGTAGCCAAGAGCGTCTGTCTGTCCAGTTTTTTGTGTAAAAAGATTATAGTTCAGTCCACATTACGGTATTTCAGTTCGAAACCCTACAACTTTTTAGGTAAAGACAGGGGAACTTCTTCTCAGTTGTCATATTGTAAAGGTTTTCCACTGAATACAAATCTTAACATTAGTGTCAGATTTCTGTATCATAGATGGAGATCTGCTCCTTCTATACAGGAGCCCAAATTCATCGCTGTTTTGCACTAATCCGAATACAAGAACAAGAACTCTGTGAGTCAATATTACTAGGTGAAGAGGGTGAAGGAGGAGCACAAGGACTGATCTGTAGGTGTATTCAGGAACATTAGGAGTTCCCTCTTTAAAAAAAGGAGGGGGGGGTGGATAGAAATTCTAAGTATCATAATTACTGTTCTTGCTTCCATCTGTCACTTCCTTTCTGTTAAATTTTGATTCCAAATGGGACTTCAGCAGCTTTCTTTTATGTATTCTTAAGTACCTAGAATGAATCTAGAATTCTACATTTCAGCCAGTTGCCCCAATTACAATGTCTAGGGTTTATAAACGGCTGACTTTAATACACCAGTCTGATGTTTTGAGGTTTATCAAGACTCCTAAGTTTCTAACCAAGAAAAAAATCTCTTGCATTTACATTATCACAAAAGTGATTCCGTTACATTATAACAAAATTGATACAATGCAGTTTGGCGCTATTTGTTTGTTCTTCATATATACAGTTTTGCTGTGGGTTGCTGTAGTGAGTTAACATGGAGTTTCCAGAATTTTCCATAAATAAGAAACATTTTTATGATGTAGCTGTTCTTCTGCAAGTTCACTGAATATTTCATTCTCTTCCTTCTCATCCCTCCACCTGCCAGGTACTTATATCTGAAGGCCTAGGAAGGTACGCAAAGGACCCTAAATTTGTTTCAGCTACAAAACATGAGATTGCTGATGCATGTGACATGACTATTGATGAGATGGAAAGTGCAGCCAGTAATCTTCTCAATGGAAATATAAGCAATGGGACCAATGGCGATATGTTTCCCATTTTAAGCAGACAAGATTACGAACTTCAAGATTTTGGTCCTGGATACAGCGATGAAGAACCAGATACTGGACGATATGAAGAAGACTTAGCTGATGAAATGATATGCATTACAAGCTTATAGTATTTAGCAAGGAAAATGATTTTAATAACAGAAAAAGTGCCTCATAGTTTAAAGATGCTAGGCACTAGCTGGAGTTAATAACCAATCGAGTTTTGTACAAGTGAGGCCACACCTCAAGGAAGCCATACGTAATAAACAGCTTATCTCCAGGTTGCTGATACGTGATCAGAGCTGCAGTACGTCAAGTCTCTTAGCACAGAATCTTCGGTTCCTCTGTAGGAAAAAGGTTATTTTGAAACCAAGCAGATTCTGACAATCAGTTTTTTGAGGGCTAGAGTGGGATTCTGAGGTGTAATATCTTGCCTGTCCTTTAACTTTGTGCGGCTGTCCTTCATAGTAGAGCAGGATTTTGTCAATGAAAACGTCTGCATAAGTCCAGCACACAATTGTGTGGGAAATAACTACATGAGTGATGACAACTAATAGTGTCAGCACTCAGCACTCAATGGCATATCAGCTATCCATTGCATATCCATTTTAATATTGTTTTCAAACTTGCCTCCTGATTTCTTTTCTTAATGCTCTTCTAAAATAGTTTGTCATGCTCTACCTGTTAGAGATCATTGAAAAAAGAAGTTAGATAATATTGTCATATGTAACACCAGTTTACATAGGAAAATATCATTCAGATAGTCTGTTTTATGACTATCATGTTAAGGGCAAAATATACTGGAATAATTGCATTCTTGCTAATGCACTTGCAACCAGGTTATAGTAGAATTAGATAAGATAGTTTGCTAAAAATTATATAGTAGAAATTATTGTAAATGAATTGTAATATACAATGATTTGTATTTGTAAAGAGATGTTCTATATTTTGTAATTATTGTACCGTAATTGAACTGCAGCAATATTTATGGACCCTGACTATTGTAACTCTCCACAGAATTCTAGATAGAAGTATTTTTACTTGGAATATATAGATCTATACCATAAATATTTAAATAGAGCCACTTCTCAGTATAAATCTCTTTTTGGGATAAACTATCAAGTTTAAACTTGACAAACATCCTTTTTTTTTTTTTAATAATTGAGTCAAAGGCGTCTGTCAGCGTAAGGGATGCACAGTTGACTATTTGCAGTCTTATAATTGGAAAGGTAAAAGATTTGAAATTATTTTAACATTTTGATTGACAATAAGCTGTGATTTTATTTTTTTATTAATCCCATGCTATAAATGAATATTAAAAATCATTTAAAAAATCAGCAAGTTCATGCCAGGGTAGCACTGGCCATGAGACAGTTTTCACAAAGTGTATTACCCTAAGTACCTACTTTGATACGAAACATCTAGGGCAGAAATTATTTCACAGGTAAATGAAAATGCTTTACCTCAGTAATGCATACTACTCTGCTCAGAAAGAAAAGAAGTATGGTAAAACAATTCTTCACAGAACCAAAAAACCCGGATTATGTGCAAAATATACTACTTTGTTGCCTCCACCCTTCTGTTGTTCTGTGTGTACTATTTCAAAGATTTATTTTTATGCAATTAAAAGAGGGCTTAGATATTGTTCACAATGCAGTAAAACCCTGATATGACTTTGAGGCTAAAACAACCTTGGAGGAAAATCAAAAGTGTTGAAAACTACTGTCTATTTTATTAGCACTGGATAACAATGACTTGTTCTAACAAGTTATCTTATCAGGTTTTACCTGTAGTTCATATGCTAGATAGCAATCCAGTTCACATTTTTAAAAATGTGATGTTTAAAACATGTCAATAAACATTTTGTACATAATGACAATTTCCTATGAATACCTTACAGACTTCCTCTGGAATCATTCTTATTTCAAATGCCAGGATAAGAACTTAAAGGTTTGTAAATTATTTCTTGACCTACATCATTTTGTATTAAGACAAATGCAAAATGTTCTTCAAAATAAAACTGTGTAATAATTTTATTTAACTTGGGACTCCTTTTACTAATAGTTTTTTTACCAAGAATCTCCAAAAGTTAAATTCTGATTGCGGTATTTGGACAATCAGGGCGAGTGTGTGGAAAATAGTCATTAGTCTACATTATCACAGACTGCAAGTCTGTGATAATTCATAAAAATGAATGACTGCTGTTGAGGAGAAAAAAAAAGTGATTAGAGTATTTGTATGAAAAAGGGTATCAGTATCACTCCCTTAGACACAAATCTATGCAAATAATTAGGAAAATCTAAATAAAATCCTCTTAAAAATGTCAGAACCAAATCTTTCATGCCATCTACCAAGAAACACTTGGGTAGGTTACTCGGCATTGGTCACTTCTGATTTGTTACATTTTCCCAGCTTACCAAAACAAACTTAGGAGAGCAAAATAAACTCTCCAGATCTGATATCACTAAGAAGTAATAGTGAGTAGTTTTCACAATTCCACCCATGGTGGTGTACCCATTCCTGAAAAATCAATCATTTTTATGGCAGCTGAACAGTAAAAAAAAGAGGAGAAAAACCCAGCCCACAACCCAGGTTGCTTAAATCCTTGGGTTTTTTTATAGCACATGTCAAATTCATCAGACTCAGCTGAACTACATTTTTATAACAATGGCACCTTAAAATCCTGCCAATCATAGAATTTACTAAATACAGAAAAACTAGAAGTCACCTCAATAACTAAAACCTATTTCATGAGTTTCCAGATTCTTCATATGTGTTTATAATGATAGAAAATATTATACCTCTTCGTTAGAAAAGAATCAAACACAGATAAGCTTTTTTTCAGTGAAGTACACTCATTGAATAAGCAAATACATGTATATTTATATTTGAACATTGTCTTTTTGGAGCTTGGATGACAACTATATAGACTGAAAGTTATAATATTGTAGTAAGATATGCTTGTGTTCTCTCTACAATAACTTATTTTAACTATAATTTTATAAAGGTACATAAATGCTTTTATTATTTCACAAAATATATTTATTAGTTTAGAGAAAATGCATGTTACAATCTCACTGTTCAGTTTTCTAGTGTTAATATAGCTCCCTCATTTGGTTGCAGGCCATCTGAAATTAGACACCTGAAAAAGATTTTAAACTGCAGAAACACCACCAAAACTGGGGTACAAAACCTTGTGTGGCCTTACATGAATCAAACAAAATGCAGTTTTGTAAATGGTAGTACTAACACTAGTTCTGCCGATCTTAAAAGCACTTCTTATCCTGAAGCAACCTGAACTGATGAGATGTGTGCAAAAAGAAACATTTTTGATCAGCCTTTCTTTCTTAACGTGATTGTCCGCAGTCAGAGCCCTCCAACTGTGCCTGAAGCATCTGCAACAAGCTATTAGCAGGGAAATGCTAATGTTCTCACCCGCAGTACATTGCTGGCTCAGGCCATGCTGGCAGGTCTAGTAACTTCCAAATTGTTAAGTCAAACAGCTTTTACAGTTAACTGTTTTTGAATACTTAATATAAGTTTTCAAATAGCTCCTCTTCGTTTGCAGAAAAATTACTATCTGGATAAAACTGAGAATAATATTGAATTACACACATGCAACTACACACCATACTATTTTGTTAGATAAGTAAGACTCTGGAATAGGCAACCTGTGCTCTGCACCATAGCAATACAGCATAAAGACAGCTAATTATTAGCTAGCAGGCTCCAAGCGCTGCACAGAGCACGTTAGAGTACCTTGTACCAGTTCTCAGTATCCTTCGGGACACAACTCACCTGGAAACAAACAATTTTCCCAGGAACTCTAAATCAGCAACTGGATACAGTGCAGGAGAAACTATTCAGGCATTCATGCTACCTAAAGATTTCCCCAGGGAGCTAAAACTATCACATAACTGAACTGTTTTTTTAAGACTGCATCAAAGGAATGGCATAAAGGAGCCTCAACGTTGTGATCAGTGGGGCCTACATCAATAAAGCAACTACAGCTTCACAGCAATGAAAATAATTTAAGTATTTAGAAGGGGAAGAATATGCGCTATATATGTCTAGAACCGCTAGAAAAGGTGGTGATGTTTTGGAAGAAATACCTAATTACCTGACTGCACAATGCAGCAATGCGTACTTGAACGTAAGACACATGCAATTTGGCATGTATATGTAAGCCTGCTATTTCCTGCTCTTTCAAAGCTTGACTTAATACCAGCATGTGGCTCTGTGCGTGTCTGCATGTGTCCAGGAATAAGTTATGTAAGACAGTGGCTAGTTAATCCTCTGCAGTTGTATAGTAACAATTCCCATCCTGCATGCCTGGAGTGCAAACCCATGTTATTAATCTGCAAATGCAAGAACTTCAATAGTCAGTCTTTCCAAACTGCTTCCCATTTCAGCTATACAGGGCTCTGGTAAGTCTCACCAGGATATGTTATTCTGAGTATCCTAAAACTTCTTATTGCAAATGAGATTAAGATACCTTAAATGAAAAATCTTAAAAGCACAAGTGCTAAATAAAAGGTATTTCCCATAAAATGGCAGACCATACAAAGGTCATTCTTTCCCCAAAGGCAGTTGCATCAGATGAATTATCTTACTAACACAGCTAATCAATCACCTATTACTTAAAATATTCTCGCTCTTCTCTCATTCCAAAAGAATGAATCACACAGAAATGGTTTTACCTGACTGCCTCTGGAGCAGAGTTCACTGTTGTTGTCTTCCGTCGTCAGTATTTCTGTTTACTCTTTATGCAGATACTCCAGTGAATTAAGTCTTTTTCCTCAGTAGCAGGGCTTCCCACCACTGCTTTGCAGCAGCACCAGGTAGAAGTATCTGTCTTAAACATCTGCAGTTGTCCCTCTAGCCAACATTTGAGTCAGCAGGTTTTTTACAATCTGCTCAAACAGTGTAAAATTCCATTTTTTTTTCTGGAAAAAAGTGTATTCTTCTGTTCTTTGGAAGTCCTGAGCAAACTGTTAGAAGGTTATTCACTTACAGCTTTAACTGGTGTATTTACAGTATTTTCAGCAATTTCTAAAAGTTGGATGCCAAACTACTATCAGAGTTTTCTGTTAGTGCTTGTAGTAAGCTTATCCTCTGCAGGCTGATAACAGTCCCTTGGTTATGATTACGTTATCTGTTGTAATGTCTCAGGCCACAGAAGCATTTACTTTATAATTTCACAGCAGCTTAGTCAGTAGTTATTTTAGAATACTTAACAAATCCATACAATTCTGAGTTCAATTTCTTTAGGTTTTTTTTTTAATCAGTACCTGAAAGTTAGATTTACATAGAAAACAGCCATGAAAGAGGGTACAGAGGTATGTACAGAGGGTACATGTACGGAGGGTACATGTTATGAAAGACATAATTTGCTTTACACGTCTAAAAATAGTAAAACAAAGACTTAATTTGTAACTAAAGTATAAGCAAATTGCTTCACTAAGTTACCTGCCTTCTAATTAAAAAAAAAAAAACTCTCCCCATATCATCTATATCTGATCTGATACAGTGACTTTGAGTAACTTTTCTTATCTCTCTATATTTTTTTTTTAATTAAGCTTGTGCAATAGTCATTTGGAGTATTTCCTGAGAAAATGCTTTTGCAAAGACTCATCTTTGAGCAAAGGCCAGTAACTTTAAGGAAGTTATGGAAAGTGCAAGCACTGCGGTACAACCAAACCAGTTTAAACTGTGACTGGAATTCTGCTAAGCTACATACCAAAAGGCAAGGAGAGATTCCAGTTTTGCAGTATGCTTTTTGCAAATATCAGCTCTTGCTCTGCATTTATTAGAAAAAAAATTCAAGTGTTTGATAAGTACAATGTATATCTTCTTTCTGCATGCTATGTATAGTTAGGAATGCTAAGTATGCTTAAAGTGAGGGTTTGTAAACTATGTATTGCTCCCATTAAAAAAAAGAAATCTGACAAATTCTGGACAAATACAGGTTCCCTGCTCTCCTAGGAATTCTAGTACATACTACTTTGTCCTGTGAATGGCCAAGTTTTAAATACATGCTTACATTTATTTAAAACGGTCTTTGCAGGATTGGGGGGGGGGGGGGTTCAGACCTCGCGTTTA